AAACTCTGCTAGTTTGAACACTTCCTCCGCACATACCACTGCCATGACTCTGTTCAAGTTCCCTTCTTCCAAATGCTTCCAACGGTTCCCTTTCCTCTCTGCGCTTTACCTCTGCTCCTTGCTCACCTTACCCTGCCGCAGCTTGGATCAAGTGACCACGGCAACGAATATGAGTGAAGCACTGAGGCTCTTTGCTCTTTCCAAAATGAGGGGTTCGAGATTTTGCGCCACTCAACACTTCAACTGTAGCACAGTCCGTTGCCGTCGCGGGAAAGCGGAAGCGATCGAGGCCAGGCAAAGCGCAACGAAAAGCACGCCAAAGCGAACAGATGTCCGGCGCGGGCTCATGCACGGCGGACCGTCATCTTGGGAAGCAGGGCTAGAACTCACATGAATCCGTACCGTCTGTTAGAAGAGTGGAGGGGGGCCAAAGGATCATTTTAAATCACTAAGGTATGGGAGGGATGAGGGGTTGACTCGGGCGCAAAGGTACAAAACTCGCGGCGCCAGCGCGACAAAGTCAGACTCCCACACTTCCTTCGCGTCCACCACAAGGTGCTTTCTTTAGCACCCGGTGGCTGGCACGGCTGGCTCGCACTTTGGAGTTCGCACATGTTTTCGTCTTGTTATCTGTGTGCCTTTCTGGTCTGGATGCGCTAGGACCGTTTCTTTTCGATGAGGGTAGGGGGTAAGCCAATTGCTTGGGGGAGCTAACTTGTCGAGGAAAACAGCCCGCCGAGCGTTGTCTTGATCGGTGGTTTTGGGAATGGTGAGTCGGGTCGACCGTCACAGTTGCATTGCATTCCTCGGGTGAGGCAGGCGAACATCCCGAAAGTATGGGCACGGCGCCGTTTGCTCGCATTGCAGTCGGACAGGCCGATCTCTGGATATCATCTCTCACTTGATCTTTTACTTCTTTCACTTCGGTGCTTCAACTTGTCCAACACAACTGATTTCTCATACTGGTCAAGAACCACGAACCAACACCTTCATGATCCTTGCCCCTAAAACCACGGTTCCATGGTGTAGATTGCTTGGACGTGCCAAAGCGGCCTAGTCCGTCACATCATGCCCCAGGCCCGGGAAATTATCACAACAGGGGCACCACCACTTCCGGACTCTGTTATATAGGTCCTTTTATTGATGGAGAAAGCCCAGCAACAGGGGGCCAGGAGGAGAGTTTCCTGAACGGATCATGGATTCGCGGGTAACGGTTGACTCTGTTTGCCCACTTTTCGTTTCTGTCTTACCTTTCATTCTTCCTGTTTCCCCTTCCTTCACTCATTCTCATTCATTACGTTTCGCTTCAATTTCATTCATTCAATTGAAGGCGAAACGATCTCACAAAGCGGTTCACTCTTTTCCCGCTCGACATTGTGACGGGGCTGGGGTTTAGGAATACGGGCAGAGAGAGAAAACCGGACCCCCAAATTCAAATTCACGGCAGCGCGGCGCATTGCGCTTCCCAGGGCGCGCCCACTTTCGCTCGTTTGAAACAAGGTCGCATTTGTTCGAGATACATTCGTTTCTTTTATATCAAGGGTCCAGCCACGGCAAGGCTACGAAACTCTGTCCTCGTCCCGGGAAGGCCGAGATAATGGTGCGGGATCTCGCCGTATAACCCAACCTACACGCAACGCCAGCAGCCTTGTCGCCAAAAGAAAGCAACTCTGGCAATTATTGTCTGCAAAGCCTGGCATCGGCAATTGCAATTGCCAACTTTTTGCTTCGGGATCGAATAGGGATTGAGCAATACTAGAGGGAAATTCAATTGTAGGAATCCAACTAGAGGAATCGGAAACGACCAGATCAACGTAAGGAGGCAAGAGGACAGGAATCATCGGTAACAAGATGATGAACGACCGCCCTCCCCCGCCGGACGAACCGGACCCGATCGTCCCCCGCGACCTCAAAGCAAAACGCACCGTGCCGTCACCCCGCAAAGCGGCCACCATCCGGAGCGCAAAGGGATCCATCTTTGGCAAAGCATCGATACCCAGCGTCTACTGGGCCGGCGACGACCCGACGCCCATGAACAATGAAGAATTCACGTTCTACCGCGAGGACACGCCGCCGCTACCTGATGGCACCGGCGGTGACAAGGCTGCTCGGACGCGGGGGTATCGGCAGAGCGTGTTCGATCACGACGAGGAGGATAGCGATCGCAAGAGGAAGCGCAAGTGCTGCGGTATGACGATGTGGGTGTTTTGGTTGCTCGTTGCTCTGATTGTTGCGGTTGTTCTCGGAGTTGGTATTGGTGTTGGTGTCGGCATTGGCGCGAATCAAAAGTCGGACCAGAACGCCGCGACGACGAGGTATGTGCTTCATCTTCTCTTGAACTTTGACATGCGCGTGGACCTGTCGATTAACAAAGCTCTCCTCAAGCTCAACTTCAACGCCCACGCCAACTACTGGTGCAAGCTCGGCATCAACAACAATGATCGTGCCCACAATGTCCAGCTCCTCCATGCCACGGAGCGGCAGCGACGCAACTGCGACCGAGACAGCATCAACATCGATTCCAACCTCGGTGACCAGCACCTCCACATCAACGCCATCTCCAACAGCAACTTCGAGCGGCAATGCAATCTGCCCAGACGCGGACAACACGGTCTACAACGTCATCGGCTCCGACAAGCGCTTCCTCCGGGTCTGCGGGGTCGACTACAGCGGCGACGACGGCGCCATCGACATGTCCAACACGCAGGCGAGCACCATGGGCGACTGCATGGAGATCTGCGCAAAGTCGGCCCAGTGTACCGGCGTATCGTGGGGCAACGTGATGATCAACGGCGCCGCAGAGCTGCGGTGCTGGCTGAAGCGGGACTTGAAAAAGTCGCATGCAGCGGTAGAGAATTGGAATTTTGCCGTCCTGTTATGATGAGGGAGAATTTTTGTAGATATTTTGGAGACAAAACTAATGATAATGTCAAGTATGCGAAAAGACATATGGGAGGAAACAATAAGATACCAGATGGAAGCGGGCGTATACGGAGTCATTATGGACAGCTTCAACGAGGGGAATTAAAGTATCGAGTATGTTTCTCCTTCATGTTTGATGCCATCTGAAAAGGACGTGAAATACCCAGCAATGCTATAATTCTCATTACATCCTCCTCAATCAAGGTATCAACTAGTGTCAGTAAGCTTTCGTTCCTCGTCTTCATGACCATTCCCCACGTTCCTTCTTCTTCAGGTGAAGGCACACGCATCAAGTCAACTCTCACTGAATAGCAGCAACGACGAATCCAGCCATGGCCGCCGCCGCAACAACAGCCCCGGTCTCCCTAGGCTTAGCAGCAGCGTTGTGCGACCCCCCGATACCCCCGGACCCGCCGCCGTTAACCGGCCCCGCGCTGGTAATCTGCGCCACAACGGAGCTACACTGATTCGTACCCGTAGGCAAAACGTCCACGATGCCAGGAACGTCGCTGCAAGCCTGCCACAGCGCACGGAAGTCGGTGATGTGCTTGTCTCTCCACGACGTGTACGACGACGCGTAGGTTGAGTACGCGGAGCCGATGGATCCCGTGATAGTCGGGTCGGAGCAGGCGTCCGTGATGGTCACTGAGAGCGCAAGGTAGGCGGCCACGTCGGCGGGCGGGGTGGGCACGTTGTCGGTGATTTTGGGGAGGAGGGAAGTTGCGACGGATGTGCAGGCGTTGAGGTCGCGGCGTTCCTTGATGGCTGCGTTGGCGGCTGCTATGGCTTCGCTGGCGCGGTTTGGTACGTCTATGGCTTGAAGGGCGTTTGCAGTTGCGCAGAGGGCTGCGACAAGGTAGGTAGAGGGACGCATTGTGAGAGTTTGGATGGGTGTATATGAGTGTGTGCTAGTGCGAATGAAGCCCCGTCTTGCAAGTACTGGGTGATGGATGGGTTGATATGGCTGCGGGCAAGGTCTCTGGGCTGTGAGCACGGTCGAGGGAGGCAATGGTGACTAGAGTGGTGACGGTGATCTATATGGTAAATGCGCGTTCTGATGTCGTCCGGTCCTTAACCTCCTGCTTGGGTAAGGAGTGACGGTCATCTTATATCAAATTCGCCGATACACTCGTGCCTCGGATTGTGTATGCGAGCTTGGCGGGAGGCTGACGGCCCACCCCTTAGCTTCACGAAGTGATGTATAAGGTTCAATACACCTCGAGGGGGTCAACTGATCGTCGTGATCTCTGCTGCATGGGATACAGGGAATGATGCATGCTCGTCAGAACTCAGGACAAGCCGCAGCAAAAAATCTTGACTTTTGTCTACTTTGGTATGACAGAAGACTCAGTCGCTCCTCTGCCTGGCATGACAGCCTCGGCCCGCCTTCTCATAGGCTCGTATCGGAAGAACCTGTAAAACGCACCCCTACGCTCAGCCACCGCTACGCCGAACGCGTTTAGACGAGCTTGACGGAGGCGGGACATCAGCGTCAAAGCCAAAGTGTCAGGAATGGGTGGCACTCTCATTGGCATGCGTGTTAAGGCCGGGGAATGAGACATGTCGCGCTCTAGCGCTGTGGCGCTGGGCAAATGTCGGTGCCTACACCCAGATCTTCCTCCCGTTCAGCCCTGATACCATAGTTTGGAGATATCTCGACGCTTTCATATCCACCGGCGGCCTGTTGTGGCTTCTTATGTCTTAAGGGACATCAGCCTTGCCGGCTGACGGTTTCTCCTTTTGCGCCTCTTGGTAGTCGAAAGTGTCAAACGCTTCGACGATCAGTGACATCGCCGGAAGGGGAAACGATGGGAACGTGCTGACCAACCCTGAGAGCGAACTCACGATGAACACCGCCACGTTGCTTTGACCTTGAAAAAGAAATGCTGACATTTTCTCTAACTCAGAAGTAATCCGATCTTCGGCGTATCATGGCACTCCGCATAGTTTGGTGTTCTCCCGCCCTGCCTCAACCAGAGTCATCAGACTCATCATGTTCGTCATTCTGTGGTCTTGGTACTCTCCTTTTCGTCCATTTCTCCCTCAAGGTTCATCACTCGCATAAAACAAATTTGCCCTTAAGATCCCTCCGATGTACAGCTTCCCACCTCCTTGGCTTCGGACTCCTTAATTGCCACCGAATGCCTAGCATAAGACTCAAAGAGCCCCATGAAAGGGATGATGATCAAGAAAATCGGGACGAGCTGGCTAAATACCATCTCATCCTCTGCTTCAGTCGCCTTTCCCAGCAATTTATGTGCTATCTTTCGATCGTGCTTAAGCGACCATACTCCGAATCCGAAATAGACGGTCAATCCAAGCAGGTTCCCTGTCTCGGACGCGAAGAAGTACCACATAGCGACAAACAACTTCTTCAGCATCTCCAAAAGTTTGCTTTCCGTCCATCGCTTGAAGACTATCGCTGGATTCAGAACGTTGACCGATTGGCCTTGCTTGTCGATAAGCAACGCTCTAATATGGTCCATCCAGAAGATACGACCAGTACGCCATGTGAGAAATGTTTGTACTGCGTAAAAGTACCCCATCAAGACCATATTGATCACCATCAGTAACTCAGGGGTTCCACCTCTTGCCTCTTTCATGGTACACTGTATCGGGCAATTCAATACCTCTTCAACATAGGCTTTCCCAAACCCAGTAGCCCAGAATGCGAACACAAGGAGCACAAAAGTGGAGGCCATCAACAAAATCCTTGAGGCGCGGGCTAGACGAGCAGCTAGCTCGGTTTGCTCGCGATTGTAGCGATGTGGATGTGTCCTCTTGACGCTATCTCTCATCCTCCGAGTAACTGCCAGCGATAGCAGGTGGGAGTTGGTGCAGAACCATGCGAGATCAGTGATAATCAAAAAATGGTAAACCGAAATAGTACCGTCGGCTAGCTCTTTGACACCAGCAACTAATATTGCTAGGCCCGTAACAAGTTGGAGGTCGCTGAAAGTGTTGACGAGGTCGTGGGCAATGAGAGATTGCAAGTCGGGGCTAGAGCCCATCCGACGCATGAAATGGCGAAGAGGCTCTGACATGTATTTGCGCATAAATCGGTCGACCGGATTGAAAGTCTGCCTTTCTTCATTTGTACGGCCTACTATGAGGCAAAATATTGACAAACAAAGAGTGAGGAAAGCAGCAGTTGAGAACGCAACCAACACCTGAGCAGCAAAATTAGCAAATATGTGTGTGTAATCCGGACATCATCCGCCAGCCACAACTTACGCCGATTCCCGCAATATCTGGTTGTGACCTCATTTCGGGGCAACTGCAGAATTCATAATAGTGGCATGGGTTATGGTTGAAGTCCTTGACGTCCAGCAGGAATGACGAGATGTTATTTAGGTCGGTGTGGTTCGTACAGATAACATAAGAGTCTGGGAAGTATCTGGCGTTGGACTTCATGAACTCCGTAATGTAAGCAGGCGTCACATCGGTATCAGGCGTCATTCTGTGTGATTTTCGAGTGTTCTAGTTAACTTTCGATCAATAGTTGCCGCCTCCTGTCGTGAAGCTTGGTGGATGGTATGGGAAAGCCAACCAAGGGGAACGGGGACGGGGACAGGCAATTTTTATATCATGGCATCAACATATTAGCCACTCCCTGGGACTTACAACCCAATCATGCCCCGAAAAATTAACTCAAAGGATCTAGCAGTTACACAACGTGGCAGCGGTGAAGTGCCGGTAAAGAGCCGCGCCCCAACGCCGGCTCCGGAATGTTTCAACGCCATGGCTCTACTAGGAGAACCTACACCTCAGCTCTCGACAAAGGCCCCCATCTAAATTGGAGGCTCAAGAAAGTTGCACTGCTTGCAACTCAGATAACATGCCTGGCTTTTCAAGCTGAAAATGAGAGGCTGCCATGTCTTTTGTATATTCTTTTGCCAAGAATCACTCGACGTGAGCGTCGTACGACTGTTGTGATAATAGCCCGGAAGCATGATCCCGATGATGTGAGGCACGTCCCGAGACGGAGGCTACGGCGCCAGTATCTACACATCGCCCGGGAAATCTCTACTTTTCGAGGCTAGTCGTTTGAAGCTGTGTTCTCCTCTTTTCAAGCTCGGGTTAGCCCCGAGATTGATGGTGCATGCACCATGAGTAGCTTGAGTACTTAAGTGGCCAACTATGAAAACGTCTCTCCTGGTTGCATTTCCCTTGACTCCTACCTCTCAGTCTGGACTCCCACTCCGCACCCAAGCATATCCTCAAATTACAGAAAAAGCACGACTCAAACACACGTACTTCATTCAGCAAACCTTTCTCCTAAGACGTCTTGCTGCTCTACTCGTCACTCTGCAGCGTTCCGGGCTGAATCAGTAGTAAGTAGTTATCCTTGAACTTGTATCGATGCTGCATGGATTTGGTCCGATTCTAAGGTAGCTTGGGTTCGGGTGATATGTACATTTTGCCCCCAGCCTTGATGAAGGTTGATACCCGCAAAAGTACAGGACCATAAAAGAATGTTCAGCGGACATATTGGTACCAGCTGTACCTTGGTAGCCCGAACAATCGAGTCTATAAATAGGGAGGGCTCGAAAATGTCTTCCTTGCTCTGAGGGGTTTTTTCCCTCAGACTTATGATGCTGTTAGATGTTGCAACTTTGTTGCGAGCTAGATGATGCGAAGTGAGAAGTGACCGAGACCCTCATCTGCTTCTGATGGCTTGGCGGGTCGCTATCAAGAAGGCTCGGTCCTCTCGTGAAGGGTTTAGACTGACAGGAACGATGATGAAAATATCGATCATAGAGCAGCTTGTCTCTTTATCGAGATATGCAGCAGACTCGCAAGATCGTATCCTGAGTTCTCCTGTCCATCACTCCTTCTTGGAATCCGCCTCTGCCTGTGAGGTTTCCTCCAGACATCAGTGACCCAATAGTCAAGTCATGGAGTGGTCCTTCCGTGCTGGGTGACACCTACGGCTCACTAGAAAACATGACGTTGGCGATGCGTTCTCCAACAAGGCAGTACGTTTTTTGTCTCAATTCTGAGATCTAGAGAATTAAGAGTGTACTCTCATCACAAATTGGCAATGGTCCTGGCGCTGGTAATAAGTTGTTTCCCTTCATCAGCACATCGTCGCCGTCAGGCTTTTTCAAGACTCTTCTACATGTACCCAGGTCCTGCAGTGACTAAGCCCGAGACTATGCACCGGAACCGAAGGCGGCGATGTCAAGGGCGTTAGGTTCAAAACGAAATGTTAAGCCGCATCTTGGAACCACCCACGCAGAGATGACCCACCATTTGCCAATCGCGCATCTGACAGCCAAGTGCCGAAAGCCTATGATAGAGACGTAGTTCAACGCTGATAGCAAATCCTCGAGCGATTGGTCAGAGCTTCTCATGCCTTCAACTCAATTACTGTGCTGCCTCGGCCGAAAGCTGCACGAGTTCCGAACCTCCGTGTGACCTTGGGCATAAAAGGACGTCGAGTTGCCCTACATACGACACAGCAAGTTCCGCACTATCAGAATAACTCGCAACGGCACTTGTAACCTTATTACTGGACTCTTACAGAATGGCAGCCGTATTCCATCCGCAGTCCCACGCTGGCTTGGGACCATGGAACAAAGACCAGGATACCGTCTACGCCCTCAACCGTGGCGACCTCACCAAAGAACGTGAGGGACTCGAGTACAATCACAGGAGCATCTTCCTCCTCTTTGCGGTGGGCTCTGTCCACAGCAAATCTCGACACATCTTAAGGATCAGCAGAACCCTCGCGTTGCAGAAATTGCCACCGGCACCGGCATCTGGCTGAGAGACATGGCAAAGTTGCTCCCCTCCAGCCCCGAGCTGCGAGGCATTGATATGGACACCACCAAGTTTCCGCCACCATCTGACTTGCCTCCAAACATTTTTCTTCTGTAGCATAATGCGTTGAAGCCGTTTCCAGAGGAGATGCATGGATCATTCGACATGATACACATACGCTTGATTGGATCTGGAATGCGAAAGGAGGATTGGGGAACTGTGGCGGCGAATGCGTTCGCGCTCTTGCGCTCCGGGGGGTACATCCACTGGGAAGAAGCCGGCGATACGTCCTGGAAGTGCGTCCCGCCTAGCCACGCTTTCGACGAGTGGTCTCGAATCAGAATGTTGTGGTCCATAAAAGTTGGCCGCAATCCATTTTAAGTTCTTCAAATCTCTCAGTGCTGTCTACAGTTCTTTTGGACAAGTTCCTCTCACTACAGTTATAGCGTTTTCATCTTACTCATCCTAGTCATCCAATACAGCATGCCCGCTTAACTTCCACTCGTTCTCAGAGACGCTGGCTTCGCGGATGTCGACGATAAAGTTTGGAACACTTTCAGTATGGAGGGCATGATGCGAGAGTCGATGAGAAAGATAGCCACCGAGGTCTCTCAGCCAGTAATGCTATCTATACTTGGATCTAGAGGCGTCGGCACTCTCCAAACTACTAAAGACATGGACAAGCTTGAGTCAGAGTTGAAGAGACACATACAGAACGGGGCGTTGATCGGAATTTCTCTGACCTGCTTCTGGGGTAGGCGCCCGTGAGGTTGCACATGAGCTGATGCACGAGTAGCTAAAGGCCAGAGAAATGAAGACTCTTTACCCCATTCGAAAACAACGATGATTTAGGCGGCAATGTGTCATATTAAGAGCATGGACGGGAGCCAGCCACCACTCAGAGGTAGCTGAATGAGAAGTATGATAGATCCCAAAAAGGACTGGGGTTACGTACACTTACTTGCTGGAGAGACAATTGGAACTCGCATTCAGCAATTTGGCAAGTGATTTTTAAGTCAAAAGCCAGCACGAACTTGAGTTCACTTTACTAACATAACAATTTAGTCCTTCGATTGCCGTTTGGCAGCCACAGAAGTTCAACTGTATCAAACTTATGGTATTCAAAATGCAACTGCGCAGGAAAACAAAAGGTAATCGACGTTGGCCTGATTCGAACAGACGCTCCCGAAGGAACAAGATTTCTAGTCTTGCGCATTAGACCACTCTGCCACAACGCCGGTGATCCATATTGCGGATGCAATGCGGTGTGGAGATGTACTGGGAGGCCAATCGTGAGAAGAAGACCCCACGCAGAGCAGACCCAAGTGAAGTGAGGTGGGTGACGACAGTGTAGCTCAGGTATGCTTTGTGGTGCCAGGAACGAAGCTTAGGCACTGGAGCCATATAATTTGGGACCTGTTCACGGGCATTTTTATTGTATATTGATTGACTGCTTTATACTTGGCCTTGCCCGTGATATCACAGGGTTATATCAAAGGCTACGGGGACATCGACGAGGTGGTAGGCAATATCCTTACGTGAGCTCTTCAGGCCGCTGTATTCAGTCAATTAATACCTCGAGACTGATTAATTAGGTCCATATCATATATAAATAAAACTTTCTTAGAGCGATGGGTTGAAGTATTCTGGAACCTACCTAGATGATGAAGTGATTTCACTACATGGACCCAGGGTGGTGTGCGTTCACCAGGAACATAAAGCAGCATGATGTACTGACTACACTGCAACGCAAGATCTGCGCATGACAGCCGTATCAAATGCAACCTGATCTCTTCTGTCTTCAAGTGTCAAGTAGTAACTTTCCTCAAGGCTTACCTGAAGGAACGCAGTGGTCAAATGCGTTCTTCGGAAAATGTCGCGGTGGCGCACCTTGTGATATGCCAATACCGAAAACCTACGTTGCCTGTCTTATTGAAAGAACTCTCAACTTCAAATTCTCAACTGTCCAGTGGCGTATTCGAAAAAGGTAGGATATGTCGTTAGCAAAACAGCCACTCCAACGTAAACTCCTGTCCTCTCAAACCTTGCAATTGATCTCCACCCTCTCGCAAAGCCACATGTTCACTGAAATGGCTTTTGCCTTAAAAGGGGGCATATTGAACTTTGTTTGATGTGAATCCTGTTGACTTATCTCCTGGTCCTTAACATGGCGAAGGTCGCTCCGAGATATTTGAGCCGGGGTTTTCAACGAGAGTATAAAGTTCAAGCTGCCCTGTATGATTTGATGTGGCTCGAGATTTTGCGCTTGACTTGCTGTTATGTACAAGAACGACATTTGTGAGTTATCAAGGACGATGTCGGATGACAGCGTGGCTTATAGTTCGCAGGCGGAAGCCTCGCAAGGGGCACCCAAGGCAAAGCATCTTCGTCTCCCCAATGGAGTATACGCTCCCACTCTCGCCTTCCTTAGTCATTCCGAGGATATCGACACAGTAACTCTCGAGCATCATGTCACCAGACTGATCAAAGCAGGGGTAGTAGGCATCGTGATTCACAGTTCCATCGGCGAAGCAGTGCACCTGACGAGGGAAGAACGCAGCACCATGATCAGGTGCGCAGCCGATACTATCTCCAGAGAGTATTGCGACAGATTCAAGAACACCCGCGCTCCGTTGATCGCCGCGTGCGGTGCTCAGTCGACGCGTGGAACACTTCAACTATGTCGAGACGCAGCCGAGAGCGGCGCGCCTCACGCATTCATAATAGTTCCAAGCTACTACGCATCTGTCGTCAACAATGAAATGATCATACAGCACTTCTACGACGTCGCGGACAGATCGCCCATCCCGCTGGTCATCGACAACTTCCCCGCAGCGGTATCGGGAATGCAACTCACCTTAGACGACATCCTCCGTATCGCGAGGCACCCCAACGTCATGGGCGTCAACTTCAAGTACGACAACATGAAGAGTCTCGCGCGGAAGGCATTTGATTAATTTCCCAAAGGCTTCTTTGTGTCCGGCGGCAACACCAACTCCATTCGCCAGTGTCAAGTACTCGGGGCGAACGGAACGATCGCGGGCCTCGCCAACTTCGCAACATATGCGTGCGTGCGTGTCAGGGGGCTCTCTGATCGAGGTGAGTTCCTTGAGGCGCAGCATCTACAGGCAGTCAATGCGAGAGGGAACTCAGTCGTCACTGGCCTAGGGCTCGTGGGTACTAAGGCGGTGGTCAATTTTTGGAATGACTACGGAGGCGCGCCGCGGAAGCCCTGCTACCTGCCGCCGCTTGTTGAGGTCATCAAAGTCTCAGAGGAGCTGAGTGAGCTGTTCCGAGCAGAGTACGAAGCGAAAGCGCCGGCTACGAGATGTTGATAATTGATGTGGCTCCAGACTGCTCTTGTTAAGTGCATGATGTTGGATACTTTGTTCGTCACCTAAGGTTCAACATCGCTTCATATATGAGAATCACTCATTGACCGCCGCGTCGAGTCGAAAACGTTCACACAGCCGGTCCCCGCCCGGCCATCACAACAAACACGTTCGAGACCAAGACGAGGCACCGACAATCAAGCCGATGAGGGAGGCCGCAGTGACGGCGAGGAAAATGGGCTTCCGGCCGGAACAGCGAGACTTGTCCAGTGGCGGCGTCGCAGCTGCAAGGGCCGTGTCAGATTGAGCGCCGGGCGCGAAAGACGGATGACGCGGCATGTGGAAGTGGAACTCCATAGCTGCGGATTGCGGCCGGGGAAGAAGTGCACTATCGATTCAAGCATACTCAACTTAAGACGGCCTAAAATTTGCGGGGATGGTGAGTATGGCAATCAAGATTCATGAAGACAGCTCTTTGGATGCTCTGCGTAGAACAGCGGCAGTCAAAGAACATCCATCTAATTCATGACGGTGCGAGTCATCACCGAGTTGAGTGCTGGAGTGCGACCAGCGAAACACTCATAACACAGATATACCATGTAGTGTTGTAAGTTGTAGATAAGCGTCAGGAGTTGACTTGCCGATTATGAAGGACGACTTCTCCTTCGGATTGTCTACGTCTCATCTCACGCCACTCAGGAGGTCTCTATCTTGACGGCTGGCGCTTGAGTCACAGACTTCCACTGTGTGCATGCCCGAGTCTCTTCCTTTGATCTCATACAGAAAGAAGAAAGACTCGTCAATCTGATATAGTATTGAGCACCCTTCTATTTGATATTAGAAGAAAACTCCTCGAGTCCTCTGTGGTTCGTATCAGGTAGGTGGCCTATCTCGTCTGGTTGAACTTATGAAGGTGATGTAGGCGGCTTCTCGCGTGAGTCTCGTCGGCCCTTTTACGCATCTCATTTGGGACCCCAAATGGATAGCTCTTGTCAATCTAGGAGCCATCATCTGGCCAACCGCCCGGCTTCATGCCGAACGGCGGCTACTGACGACATCCTGCTGCATCCCGAAAGTCAAAGGATCCACTGTCCGACCGCCAGACACCAAAAATGAAGAGAGATTGGAATTCAGGAGAGCTTCTGTGTGTACGGAGTATGATTATGTCATCACCTCTCGGCCGATAGAATCGGTCAGTAACCGAATCAAGCAGATGGAGGTTTTGGCCCATCTCGAGAGGCACAGCGGGAATGTGGAGGGGCCTCAGCTCCTGTTTCTCCATCTTTCATCCCAATGATCCCATAAATTTAAAAAAGTGCATTTCATCTCCCACATTCTCCGTCGCATAAACAGCTGCAGCCATGTTCTTCGCTTGTATATCCGCGCCCGTCCCCTTTTCCCCTTCCTTGCTTCCTCTCCTCCTCACCTGTAGGTAAAATTCAAACGGCCCAATCCAACGGGCTCAGTTCTGTTCAGGAGGAGTCTGGCTAGGAGGAGGGGCCGAGGGGGGCCCTGGAGCCTGTGCCTGGTCTGGCCCAGGTACCCGCTGATGGGACAAGGTTTAGCGCCCTTGACCCTGCTTCGGATCCACGATGTGGGCACGGGGGTGAGTTTCAATGTGTTCAGTTGATGATCGGACGAAGAAGGCGAGAAGAAGAACCCAGGACCGATGAGCGCCCTGCCTGGCAATACCTGGCCTGGCCTGGCCGCGGGCAGCCAGTCTGCACACCGACAATCAGCTAAGCCGGGTACGAAAAGCAGACCAGAAGAGTGAACAGAACCACTTTGGAGAATTGGGAATGCGTTGGCGTTTTCGAATGACGCGTGCCATTGAATGGCCCACGACCTGGGAGCCAAGTCGGGTGCGACGGAGTCCACATGGGCAAAAGTTCATGGTCTGAAGTTGATGAAAAGATGCGCTGAGCGTTAAGGCTGTGAGACACGGCTGCACACCGAGTGATGCCATCAGCACGATCGGGCTGGACAGCTGAAGTTGCACTAGAGAAGGATCTCATTCTATGTGAGATGCATCCAGATTGAACGGCAGTGCATTGCTGTCACCGTTCACCAGTCGGTAGCTAATTCCGGGCGACGATTACTGATACGGTCAAGTTTCGACTAATCGCCCTTGCTTGCATGTGAACTTGAAAGGGTCAGGCTCGACCAGCTCCAGTTCACATCAATAGATTGGCAACAGTCGAGATTGTCTTCACGGAGGGAGCTTCTCGAAACAGGCCAACTACCCGCACAGCAACTCAAAATTTTGCCCAAGAAGGGGACGAAGAAAACGTGGAGAGCGACAAACACGATCTGTCATGCCCCTTTAAAGACAGGCAGCTTCCCGACAAGCGCATCGACCTTTTATTTCTCGCTTGCACGGACGTTCCAGGTCGTAATGATCCTCATATGATCTCCCGTTGAGGTCATCGAAGATGCGAGAGGCCGAGGAACCGAAGATGGGACGAGGAGAGGGACCGTGACTCCTCCCTCAATCACATAGCTTTTGCCTGTCTACGACAACGTGAACGAGGTCAACCGTCCAGATCCCATCGAATCGAGTAAAGCAAAGTGGTGGGGGTCATATGGCGGAGCCGCCTGAAAGATGCGTGGTGGCGCCGTTTCAGCCATCCCGGTTCAGGAGCGAGAAGGGTGAGGCAAGGATCATGCCAGACGGCTTCGAGCGGCGTGCGCTGCCCCCTCCCCATCTCACGGTCGAGTCGTCCAACTCGAACCCTCGTCACTTGTCGTGGCCGTCACGGCGTCTGCGCTGGAACGTCAGCCAAAGATGGGCAAGACTCGGTCGAAAGAGTGTCCACCTAGCCTCACTCAAATTAAACAACTGGGCGACTACTGCCCGTTGTGGGAGCCCTGCCCGTCATCCGCCCAATCGCTGCCATTCCCTCCACATGGAGCTGACTGGGGGTCGTTGGCTGGCATGTTCCAGGACCACGGATGGATCACATCTCTAGGCTCTTGGTGGCCGTCTTGGTGGCCGTATACAGTCTTGGAAGGCTGTTGGAGGGTTACTCGCTGATGTCTATCCGTACTCTAGAGTATACGCAACACGTCTCGTCTTGTCCATGGCAGGCTGACTGCCCACGGCTGGCCTGAGCTTTTTCTCGTCTTTTGCGTATGAGTCCATGACCATGCAAGGTACTATCAGTTCCCCTGAAAGCTTCGATCGCAACAAGCCGTCTTGCATAGATTGCTCCGGGTCCGTGGCTGGGTCCGGACTGGGTCGCCCATGACACCCACCACTTTGACGGCAAGTCGTAGAGATGGGTTTGCCAGTCGAACTGTATAAGACCATCCTCCATGGCCTTCAAACTCTTCTTGCTCGTTCTTCTGATCTGATCTCCTCGTCCCATTCCAAACTTGTCCGAATTTTCATTCACGTTCATTCTTTCAACACTCTCTTTACAGCTGTGCTAGACACAAGCCATTCTTTTGAAGCTTTTTTCAGAACATTGCAAGACAAATCCCAACCGTCAAAACCCTCTTTTTATACCAACAAAACCGACCCAAACTCTACCGTGTAGAAATCAGTCAAAATGCAGTCCAACATCCTCACCGTCCTCTCTTTCGTCGCCGCCGTCTCGGCCCACGGCAAGGTCACCTCGCCCACTCCCCGCCCCGCCGGTGATGCCTTCAAGGAGGCCTGCGGCACCACCATGTGGAACACCGAGCAGTCCGACCCGTACGGCAACATCCAGGGCCTCGCCCAGCAGGCCGGCAACAGCCTCGACTCCTCCAAGTGCGAGCTCGCCCTCTGCAAGGGCTACAAGTTCGCCGACAACTCTGCCAACATCCAGAGCTACACCCCCGGCCAGACCGTCGACTTCAAGGTCGAGATCCGCGCTCCCCACACCGGTGTCGCCAACGTCTCCGTCGTCGACACCACCAGCAACTCCATCATCGGATCTCCCCTGATCTCCTTCACCAACTACGCCTCCACCAAGACCGGTGTCGCTGCCAACAACACCGCCTTCAGCGTCACCCTCCCCGACTCCCTCCCCTCCAACTGCGGCACCGCCGGCAACTGCGTTCTCCAGTGGTGGTGGGACTCTGCTGAGGCCGGCCAGACTTACATGTCCTGCGTCGACTTCACCTCCGGTTCCGGCTCTGGCACTGGCACTGGCTCTGGCTCTGCTACCCCCTCTGCCGCTCCCACCACCCTCGTGACCTCGGCCGTTGCCTCCGCTACTCCCTCCACCCCTGCCTCTGGCAGCTCCGACCAGGCCGCCGACCCCGTCTCCGCCACTCCCTCCGCTACCCCCTCTTCTTCCGTAAGTCTTGCCTCCAACAACGTCCCATCTCTTTGAGGCTCTTTTGTCATTAGAGTAGAGTTCGGATTGAAACAGTTGCAAGTGGTTCACATTCAGCTAACCTTACCATTCTTTAGGCCCCTTGCAAGCGCAACGCCAAGCGGGCTCTTCGCAAGCGCTTCTAAAGTGGAATTTAGAGTTTTAGAGTAGACAGTCGGACTCGCATCTGATACCCGGTCAGCCTTTTGAGACGAGACGGAAGGGACGAGAGAAAGACGAGATGACTCGGAAACGGATCTCCCAAAGTTTCACACCAGGCGCTTGACCCCAACAAAATCCTGGGATTTGCATGTTCTTGTACAAAGTTTCACACACTTCAATGTTCAATACTTATTCTTCACCCATTATACCCTCCCTCTCGCAGCGACGTAATCGTGACAGTCTCCGTCGTGACATGAAACGTTATGTCTATGTCGGTTCATGGCGACAATGTCCGAATCCGGGGAATACGAAACTCCCTCTTCGATTCTGTTGTGTCCCCCCTCGTCTGATTTAATCCTTCTTGCGTAATTTGTCAGCTAAATTTTGTCGTAGGTTTACCGAGTCGGCTTTTTCAACGTCTCAACTTCCACCCCACCATCTACTAAACCACCACGTGTAACTTTCCTCTTTCAGACCAGATGCACAACACAATCAACGTCCGAACTGGCGACATTTTTGAAATGGTTTAGTGTGGTCTGATGTGAAGTCATGACAAGTCGTTCAAAAAAACCCCACCAAAAAGATCACCGCTTACGACGATCGGCCAAGAGCCAGGGGTGCGTAAGGCAAGTAAACATCGCGGGAATCCACAGCTGCAAGTCACTTCGCGGGGGAGTCGAAACTTTAAAAAGAGAACAATCAAAACTGATGGAAAGAGCTCGCCCTTGCCAAAAAAACAAGTTCCCGCATTGCTGATCGCTGCTAGTAAACGCCCAGAGAGAGCTTTGTTGCATCCGGCCGGCTGGGCACTTTGCTGCGGATAGTATGTACGGGGCAGTCCGCGTGGGCAAAGCCCGGTGGGAGAAGTTTAAAAACTCTAGTGCCAAGCTCGAGAGAAATTTGGTAAACCCCCAACTTATCCATACACCCCTTCTCTGCGGCATCCGTCCGAAACGAAACATAAACTATCGGAGAGGGGCGGCCGTTGAAACTTTGATCAAGACGGGACGGGTAGCCATCCCATGACTCTCCGGCATATCGGACACCATCAACGGCCGACGTAGCCGCGTCGAAGTCGGGCAACAGGCAGGCCTACGCTGGGAAGTTACTCAGACGAGGGCGAGACGAGGGCGGAACGAATTCGAAATTGCAGTCACGCTGTTCCGCAGACCCCGTCCATCACATAGCCTGCACCTCCACCATCGGCGATTGACGTCGATTCCCATCTCTTATTTCTGCCCGTCCGCAACCGTCGAGTCATCAGCTGTCGCAGCCCTACCGGCCTGGAACTTCGGACTGGCTGGGGAGTCTTGGCAACCCGGACCAGCCAGAACCCGCCTGGGCAATGACAAGGAACCGACATCCTGCAAAGGCCGTGACGGCGGCGGGACCTAACCAAACGACCGGTTCGAAGATCTCACAGAGCGTAGACGACGGTCATCAGCCATACCCACCGGGGTGAGTAGTTCGGGTTCTCGAAAGAAACCTTCAATGCCTAGTGATGGCACGCCAGCCTGGGACTCTGTCTCAATGGACCTACAAAATAAAGAAAACTTTTACACGCCTCCTGGTGTCGATTCCTTTGGAAATGTTGAAGCGATGAGCTCGGCGAATGAGGTGTTAGACTCCGACTTACCGTCCGGCGACAGAGTTCACCAGGGGAAAAGCCAGCTCCACCCACTCGGCGGAGTACGCCAGCTTCTCTGACTTCCAACGACGGCCGCTGATATGCCAGAATATGGATTCAAAGACCTGGACGGACGTACTACGCCGCTTACTTGGGTCGCTGCGTTGATTGAACCATGGCGTCAAGGTTCACAAGATATCTTCACTGTATTTAACGAGAGACTGCTCTTTCCGACGCTGGCACGGTGAATAGCGAGCCATCAGGGCCGTCACCTGGTCATCAATTTGGAGTTCTGTTCAAACACCAGTGCCAGTTCCTGGGTAATATCGTTAACATAATTTATCGATGGGAAGTTTGGCAGAACAGCCACGGTCTCAAATTATAGATGTCGCCTCTATAAAGGGCACCTCCATAAGCGCGCCTTTCGAAGCCTTCCGATACGGCGGAAAAGCCGTACTGATTTTGCCCCCCTTCACTGCTTTTATTGTTTTCTGGTGGATTCCTCAGAGAACACGAACTTGTCTTTCGCTACAACGTCTCTTTGCTTCACACTGAAATGCCTTACGAACATGTTACCTGTCAGCCTTGAAAAGGCGTCTAGGATGTTGAGAAGTGTGTCGATGACATGATATTGATTGAAAGGGCTTCGGTTGGTTAAGATGGCCCCAGTCGCGAAATGACGCCGAAAAGATAGACTTCTCTGTCATTCATTGGCAAGTTGCGGAACCAAGCCACGGG